AGTCAACTGTAGGAGGAGCAGGGGCAAGAGCACGAGGAGGAGGAGGACGAGCAAGACGAGGAGGACGAGGACGAGCACGAGGAGGAGGAGGAGGAGGAGGAGGAGGAGGAGCAGGAGAAGGAGGACGAGCAGGAGGAGGAGGAGGACGAGGACTCCTACATGCGAGGACGAGCAGGAGGACGAGCGACTGCGAGGACACCAGAATTCTACACCAGGACTCCTACATGAATCTCAAGGGCATTGCTTCCAAATATGCTTCTACATATCGCTGTTAGGTTGCTTTGCCGGGATAACTTAACCATTCTTGAATATTCTCCGATCCTCCTGCAGTGGGGCATGCCCGACTCAACAATGGGTGCGATGCCCGATGCTGGGCGGGCGGCCTTCTGCCTCAAACGGGCGCCGGCAGCGAGCCCTGCTCAAGATGGGCAATACCTGCTCTCACTCTTCGTCCATGGGCTTCCCGTGCCCACTTCGACTGTGCCGATGGAGCGCCCTGCATGTGCGCTTCCCGCCAAAGAGGATCTGCGACACGGGCCCCCGCTCTCGACTTCCAGCGCCCTGGGAAAAAGCAACAACTGCAGAACGGATCTGGTCTCGCTGCCTCCGACCCTGCAGGGAGGGGAGGGAGCCTTTTTTCCTTCGGCGCTGCAGGGAAAGGGGGGGCCTTTTTTCCCTTGGACTCTGGCAAGCCCACCTTCATGGCACGGGCGTGGCCTGGGCCACGCTGGCCGATTAACCCCCTAACCAGATCATTGGATCCAATTTGTTGCCGGTCGCGATCGGTAGCGACAGATCGGTCCTCGACTGGCCCTCGAAACTGGTCGTGACCGATCGCGACCGATTCCACAGTCGGCCGCAACCAAACAAGGCCGATTGCGACCGATCGGTCTCGACCAATTTTGAAGCAATCGGTCGCGACCTATATCGAAATTGGAAACAACATCGGTTGCGACCCATCTCGTGGGCCGCGACTGGACTTTCTATCACATGATCAGGACAGCTAGGGATATGGGCTGTTCCCTGTGGCTTTCCATGGGCCTATCCCCGACTGGGTTGGTGGGATGGAGGGGCTTAGCGGCCATGGCCAAATGAGCGGCGATCAAACCGGGTCATACGCGAGATGCCATGGTGACCTTACGCGGTGGCTTACGCGGGCCGCCGGCGCGGCACGCCACAGCGGAAACGAGGGCGCTACTCGCGACCTTCCGCGGGCAGCTCGCGCGCCAAGGTCGGCGCAGGCGAACCCATTTTTCTACAAATGGGAATGGGGATATCGGAGAAGGACGAATTGAGACCCTGGAAACGCAACATCGGCTCATAATCGGTCCCTAGACCCCTCCCTGGGGCCCAAGCGCAACGCACCAGTTCTTCGAGCTGCGCCAGGCCTTGGCGACGAAAGGCCCCCCCGAAAACTAAATACTGGTGTCTCAGACTGCCCTCCGATGCCGGCGGCAGGCGTTTGTGACACCGTCGCCGGTCGTCGTCCGTCGCCGCCGCCGCCGCCGCCGGTCGTCGTCTGCCGCCGCCGCCGCAGCCGCCGCCGCAGCCGCAGCCGCCGCCGCCGCCGCCGCCGCCGCCGCCGCCGTCGTCGTCTCCGTCGCCGTCGCCGTCGCCGTCGCCGTCGCCGTCGCCGTCGCCGTCGCCGTCGTCGTCGCCGTCGTCGTCGTCGTCGTCGTCGTCGTCGTCGTCGTCGTCGTCGTCGTCGTCGTCGTCGTCGTCGTCTCAAACTACCGGCGCTGGGCGGCGGTGGCGAGCGCCAGACGTTGACGGGGCCGCCCGTCCAGGTAAGCCCTGTCAGAGCCGAGGGGCCGGCACCGGCGCGTCGCTGCGCGGCGAGTCGGGCCGGGCATGCACGGGCACGGACGTCGGCGGTCGCTCCCGCCGAGCGTTGCTTTTTTTCTGGAGGCGAACATCCCCGAGGCGTGGGAGAACGGCACAGGGCGACGAACAAGGAGGAGCACCGTGAGGGAGCACGGCGCCTCCAGCAGACGTTGCCACACGCCCTCTTGCACAGATGAACATGCGGGATCCTGAGGGGAGCCCCTCTGCATCCACACTACCATAACTATCATTGCAGTGCCAGCTGTTCTGCATCCACAGACCACCACAAGTAAACACGCATTTCGGGGAAAGGCGATCATGGCAAAACAAGTCTGAATGGTATGCATAACCATCATGCTTGCAAGGACGCGGGCGGACAAGAAGGGGGCGTCCAAGAGGGGGGGCGCAAATCATGGCCGGCGGCATGTGCGCGGCCCAGGAGGAGGCCAGGGTCGTATTGAAAAAAGAAGAGGCGCCATGAAATCAGGGAAGACATCATGCCCCCCGCCATGATATCCACACCCCCCTAGTCATTAACCCCCTCTTGGTCGCTCTCGACGAGGGCATGATCTCCCGAGTCCTTCCGGTGGACCGTCTTCTCGGGGGTTGCCCAAGGGGGCAGCGAGGGGCCGTCGGAGAGGAGAGGCCGCACACCGCGGTCCTCCGAGGCACGCGCGCAGGCGAGGGGCGGGGGACACAGAGAACCCCTTGAGATCAGATGGAACCACGACATCTGAGGAGGAGGAGGAGGAGGAGGAGGAGGAGGAGGAGGAGGAAGATGTGGAGGGCTGTCATGGTGCCTGCCACGATGCCCCTCCCCCCGCCGGTCATCACCCCCGTCTTGGCCGCCCCCGAATGTTTCATCCTGGGCCGCTTCCTTGACGGTCCCAAGTGCCCAGAAACAGTCCTAGAAGCCCAAACTCGTGGAACTCAAATCAGACGGCGCAACAATTTCGAGCCGCCCCCCAAGGTACACAACGAATATATATATATATATTCATATTTATATATACACATATATATATAGAGAGATATATTTGCACACACAGAACACCCTCCGATCAATTTTGCATGTAAGTCGCTGGCCCTCAGTGGTGATTTGTACACCGCCCCCCCCCCCCCCCCCTGGGGGCCAGGAACAAACCAGTGGAGGGCGTATGTGTGCTTCTTTCGGGGATGGACAGACCTCCCTTTAGTAAAACGTGGTTGATTGAAAACGACTTCGGGCCAAAACCTGGCGGGCGCAAGCCTGGAAAATGACGGCCGCGGCGCCCTCTACAGAACCAAAAACGGACAATTCACTAATCGACGTGTCAGGGCAGGAGGTCTGTCCACCCCTGATTCTTCTGGTGGCGGACAGGAGCCCAGATCCTTGACGACGAGGCTCTCGTTGGAACGTGGAACGCCCCTGGCTGCGCTCCACGACACTGCACGACTCGGAGAAGCGACAGGCAAAGCTGGGAGCGGCGGAAGGACCAGGCACTGGCGGCCGAAGAAAGTAGGGAACCGACCTCTATACACCGACGCTTCTTGCGGCCCTGCACTGAAATTTGCACAGGAAAGCGGATCCTGGTGTATACGGGATCCTGGTGTATACATTTGTCGTCGTTTCCCTGGGAAACTGGAAAAAGTATACGCCACACCACCCCGACGTCGTCCCCGACCCTCAGAAAGTCTTGGGAGTGAAACGCAGCCCGCCAATGGTGGTGTAGACGTTGCAGCTTCCGAGGAGAATGTAGAAGAATGTGTGTTCCGCCATCGGGCGCCGCCGTGCCCAGAGAGGCTTGAAAGTTTACGCCTCGACGGTGGCGCGTCGGCACCGAAGCTTTCCAGCCGCCCGGGGCCACGCGTCCCCGACGGCGGAGCACATTTGAAGGGGCCCGGAGACACACAAATAAATACACACAACCATCAAGATTCCGCATATGTTTTGATATTTTCTGGGTGTTTGTCTCCCCCCCCTCCCTATATTTTCTCACTTTTTCTTGGGGATCGACGACTCATTGTGTCTGTGTGTGTGTCTTTCCCTCCTGGAAGATTATACTCCGACGGTGGCGCGTCGGGGCCGGAGCTTTCCAGCCGCCGGGGGCCAGGCGTCCCCGACGGCGGAGCACATCACTTCAGCAGAGCGCGGGGGCCGAAGGGTTATTCATCTAGGGCTCCCAACTTCGCGCTTCGCGCTCCGCGAAGCGCGAATAACTTCGCGCTCTCGCGCCGCCCCCCCAAAGGGAGAAAAGGAGGACGAGGAGGGGGAGGAGGAAGGAGGACCGCGAAGCGCGAAGCGCGAATAACTTCGCGCCCTCGAGGGCGCCCTTGTTCATTGTCTCTGGGTGCGTGGCAGAAGTGTGGCGCTCCGTCTGGCGGCTTCTCTTCAGGCGTTGCTGTCATTACGCTGTCGTCGCCCTCGACCGCGACACGCCCGCGACCCACCCCGCGACCCACTGCGCGACCCACTGCGCGACCCACTGCGCGACCCACTGCGCGACTCACTGCGCGACCGCGATCCGCGACCCACTGCGCGACCCACTCCGCGAACGCGACCCACCCGCGACCCACTCCGCGACCCACCCCGCGCCCGGCCCGCGCCCGGCCCCCGCACTCGGATCTGCAATTGCTGGGTGCTACAGCAGGGGCCCGACCGCAAGAAACCTTCCGCAAGAAACCCAGCCCTGAGACCCCAGGACGTCCCTAGATTTTTGGTGTGGGGAACGTCATGCCTTCCATCGCGAAACCATCGAAACCCAAAGAAAGCCATGGCACCCTGGAGGCAGGCAGGGCGCATCTTGGCATGGGCCTGGGCAGAGGTGGGCTCGGGAGGAGACTCGCTCTAAAAAGGCTCCTCAAAGAAGGAAGCGTGAGCATCCAACGCCTGGCTCCTTCCCGAACACCACCCGGGGCGGACACCACCCTCTGCGACCCCCCCGATCGACAACCTCCTGGGCACCAATTCCTCGTCCCGGATCGTGCCTCTGCGGTCCCGCGGCCTCGAGAGCTCGACAGTCACGGAACACCTCCGCCTTGTTTTTCCCAAGACTCGGAGCGCCCCGACTTTGTTCCCATCGTGGACCCCTGAAGGTCTCGACCCACTCCCCAGGACCGGCTTCTCGCATCTTGAGCCGTTCTTTGACGGTCCTGAGGCCCAGCGAAGGCCCCCAGAGGCAGGCGCGTTTCTTTTTCAAGCCGCGAGGTGCAGGGACGCCTGGGATGCCCGGGAGCATCCCGCCACCGACGAGCCCGCGCGCAGCGAGGCAACTGGGGAGCACGCTCGCCTCGTGCCTATGGCACGGGCTCGCGCTCGCGAGGCTCCGCGAGGCCTCGTGAGGCCCTGGCCCCCCCGAGTCGCGACGTCTTCCATCACAAAGATGAGTGTGCGAAGAAAGGTACAGTCGGCCCATGTCAAAAGAAGAAGAATAAGAAAAATAAGAAGAAGAAGAAGAAGAAGAAGAAGAAGAACAAACGCCATAAACATAAACTTGTGGCGCTTCGCGCGGATTTCTTGGATCTGCGCTGGTCCCCCCTCCCTGGCGCGCGGAGCGCGCCGCAGGCGGCGCCGGAGGCGCCGCCGGGGGGTCCCAGGCGCGCATCCAAGAAACTCTCGCGGAGCGTCACAGTTTATGTTTATGGCGTTGTTTGTCTGCGAATCAGAAGGATGCACGACAAGGATGCAAGGGCCTTGGATTCCCCTTTCGAAGCTTTTCGAGCGGGGCGCGGCCAACGAAAGTCGCCAAGGATTGGCCGAGGAGGCAAGGATGCAAGGGTACCCTTGGGAGGGTTCCCATCCTTATGATGTGGGTTGACTGCACTGAGGGAGCCTTCGTGGGAGCCTCTGTGGACCTGCACGGCCTCATCACAAGCGTGATCTCGGCAGGATTTCGTCCTCCAGATTTCGACCGCCCCTCGTCACCCTTTCGTCCAGATCTCGCTGAAATGTCGTCCAGATGTCGGCCACATCCGATGAGACCCGGACGAAACTCCCACGCCGAATGAGATTTGGGGACCCTCTGAGGCTCCCACGAAGGACCACGCAGACGATGCACCAGATACTTGCCCGCGGTCGGGGGCGCCTTCCAGTGTGGGAAGATAAGTTTCCCAGCCGCCCTGGGACAAGTGCCCCCGCATGGCGATCAGATCTATGCCATACCGTCTTTCGCCCGCTTCAATGTGGAATCCGGACGTCTCATCCCATTCCCCCGGACGGGCGTTTCATCCGGAGTGATTTTGATTTTTCCCTTGCCCGGGGGCCTGGATGGGGGCCCCAGAGGCAGAACACCACGAGAAACATTATTAGGCGGCGGGCGAGGGGGGGAAATGAGAAAGAGAAGGCCTTCTCAGAAGGCGGCGGGACTTCTCAGAAGCCCTAGCGCCTTCTGAGACGTGTTTTCTGTCTTCGGGCAAGGCTCAGGAAACTTCTCAGAAGGCCGTGGAACTTCCGAGACTTCTGCGAAGGCCCGCCCCTTCCCAATTCCCCCCCCTCGCTCGCCGCCGAATTGTGTTGCTTTGCCGCGACGAACAAAGCAAGCCTCACAGACACTACCGCCCCCCGGGACCTCTCCAGGGGTGCGTTCTGGCCAGAATGTCGAGGCGAGCCCAGCCGTGGCGACCAAGGCCTCCCTTGTTTGTGCCCATCCCTGCGGTGGCAACTCGTGGGAGCCTCCCATACCATCCTGCCGGCTCCTTGCGAGTCGACGCTCATCGGCGCGACGCTAAATCGACGCCACTCGACGCTCAATCGGCCCTATCTCATCGACTCCCCGACGCTAATCGACGCTAGTAAGCCAGCACTGAAATTGGAATCAAGACGGCTCACCAGGCCCCCATGATTTGCGACCGAGCAGGGGGCGATTGGGGGTCGATGCGTCCCCCCTCTGTTCGGGCGTTGGCAGGACTGGGTTTCGTGGGACCTGGCTCAGTGATGTGTACTGGGGGGCGCCCCCCCCTCCACGTTCCACTAACCAGAGCCGCCGTCACCCGAAAAACACCAGCTGCGGCAGGCATGGCTCAGTGATGCTGGCCAAGCTCGGGTCTCCGGGGCCCTACCACCAACCGGGTCCCCTTACCTGGGGTCCTGGCTATACTGCGGGCAATAATCATATCCATATCCAGTGCGTCTTGGACTTCCTTGGAAGGGGCGCCGCAAGGCCGAGGCGCACTGGATATGGATATAATGTAGCCTTTGGGGGCCAGATTTTAATCCACATCCAGTGCGCCCTATGTTTTTGGGGAAGAGAGCCCGAAACTCCAAAACGCACTGGATGTGGATACAGACGGTGCCCGCATATGCCACCCCTGTGCCCATCCCCCTTCCTATCATTGCCCCCGACGGGAGCTGCCCGACCGCCTCACTCTGGGAGCGCCCATCTCGGGCCGGGCGAAAGGGGGGGATAGCACAGGGGGGGGGGGAGAATCAGCTCGCGTAGCTGATTTTCCTGGCGCCTCCTGGTGCCGGAGGCGCCTATGTATCGAGGAATGGGCCCCTCGGTGGGGCCGAAACCAGCTGCATGCAGCAGATTTCGTAACCCCCCCTTTCCCAATCCCCCCCTTTCGTCCGGCCCGAACATCCCCCTTCTCGTCGTCGCCCCCGACGGGAGCTGCCCGCTCGCCTCACTCCGGGCGCGCCCGGCTCCCCAGGGCGGCCAGCTCCAGCTGCCAGGCCGGCCGGGGCCGCGCGGGGGGCCCGCCGTCGTTCGCAGGGGCCCCTTGCTGGGAGGCTATAAAGAGGCCGGCGCCAGCACGCAGCGGCCACGCCCAACTCGGCGGAGACCGAGGGGGGGAGAGAGGAGGAGGAGGAGGAGGAGGAGGAGGAGGAGGAGGAGGAGGAGGAGGAGGAGGAGGAGGAGGAGGAGGAGGAGGAGGAGGAGGAGGAGGAGGAGGAGGGAGGAGGAGGAGAAGGAGGAGGAGGAGGAGGAGGAGGAGGAGGAGGAGGAGGAGGAGGAGGAGGGAGGAGGGAGGAGGAGGGAGGAGGAGGAGGAGGAGGAGGAGGGAGGAGGGAGGAGGGAGGGAGGAGGGAGCAGGGAGGAGGAGGGAGGAGGGAGGAGGAGGGAGGAGGGAGGAAGGAGGAGGAGGAGGAGGGGGAGGAGGAGGAGAAAGAGGGAAGAGGGAGGAGGGAGGAAGAAAGCCATCACAGAAGGCAGCGAGACTTCTCAGAAACCCTCGCGCCTTCTGACGTGTTGTCTGTGTCTTCGGCAAAGGCCCAGGAAGCTTCTCAGAAGGCGGGGGGGGGGCGAAAGGGGCCAGCACTGGCACGCCGTGGCCACGCCCGAAGGGGGCTCAGTCCTGGCACTGCCAGGACAAGCACGAACGAAGGAACGGAGCCTTTTTTTATTAAAAATCTGATCACACGTTCTTAAAAGGACGGCCGACCCTGGAGGCGTTCCCTCGTCGCTTCCTCTCGTTTTGGAAACGACCCCTCCTTGCAATCGCTCGGACGTCCTCTCCCCGTGCATTGTTCAGTTTCGTGCGTGCTGCTTCCCAAACCATTCTGGCGCACCCCTCACACGGTTCGTGGCCCCATAGGGAGCTCCACCGAAGGCCCCAGTGGCAGGGTTCGCATGGCGGCCCCGCGTTTTTGGCGCACCCCTCACACGGTTCGTGGCCCACAGGGAGCTCCACCGAATGCCCCAATGGCAAGGTTCGCATGGCGGCCCCGCGTTTTGGCGCACCCCTCACACGGTTCGTGGCCCCATAGGGAGCTCCACCGAAGGCCCCAGCGGCAGGGTTCACATGGCGGCCCCGCCCTATTTTGGCGCACCCCTCACACGGCTCGTGGCCCCATAGGAAGCCCACCGAAGGCCCCAGTGGCAGGGTTCGCATGGCGGCCCCGCGCCATTTTGGTGCACCCCTTACACGGTTCGTTGCCCCATGAGGAGCTCCACCGAAGGCCCTAGTGGCAGGGTTCGCATGGCGGCCCCGCGCCATATTGGCGCACCCCTCACGCGGTTCGTGGCCCCATGGAGCTCCACCGAAGGCCCCAGTGGTAGGATTCGCATGGCGGCCCCGCCCCATTTTGGCGCACCCCTCACACGGTTCGTGGCCCCATAGGGAGCTCCACCGAAGGCCCTAGTGGCAGGGTTCGCATGGCGGCCCCGCCCCATTTTGGCGCACCCTCACACGGTTCGTGGCCCCATAGGGAGCTCCACCGAAGGCCCTAGTGGCAGGGTTCGCATGGCGGCCCCGCCCCATTTTGGCGCACCCCTCACACGGTTCGCGGCCCCATTTGGAATTCCCCTTGCTTCGTCCCACCTGCCCTGCGGTTCTCACACTTGCGTATGGTTGGGTCCTTCACCCGGATGTTTTGTTTTGCCACACGTCGGCGAACAAATGCACACGTCGGAGCGATACCAAATCTTCCTCTGCTGAAGACTAGGGCACGGGCATCCTGGCAAACTGGCGGGGGATCGCGAGCAAATCCAAGAAACCACTGACCCCCCCCACTGCGAACTGGACGCTGCAGTCCGAGAAAAATGTTTGGAAACAGATTACACGTTCGCTTCGGGCCAGTGTTGTTCGCGGCGTCTTCATCAGGGCGCGATTGGTACTGTATGCCTTCTTGGCGTCCCAACACCATGTCAATGAGCGATTTCTTGGGCTTGCAATCCAAGAGTTGAATGATGGCATATGGATCCCGCGCTCGCATCGTGGCCGCGCACTCTGCGGCGTCGTCATCATGGTTCTAAGGAGTGGTACTCTGCTCACTCGGCCTCACAACCCCTGCATCACGCATGATTGCGTGCTTGCGTTATTGCGTGATTGCGCGATAGCGTCGGAGTGGTCGGAATGGCCAGTCGATGAAGCGCGCCGCAGATGTGGATGGGGGCGGCGCGCAGAAGAAGCGCACAATAGTCTGGCACGACGGCGAGTCTTCCTTGCAACAGCCTGCCCTGTACCCGGGAGCGGGCTCGCGTTAGTGCGTTTCCATCCGGATTCGGGAAATATGAACCCGATCGGCACGGTGTGGGCGTGGCTGCGCAAAGACTTAGCTCTTCGACAGGATGGGGACTTCGGCACCAAGAAAGTGATCACGATGACACAATTCTTTCAGCGGTCCGCGAAGATCTGGGGCAGCGACAAAGAGAAGACGTCGGGCCAGGAATGGAGTCGCCTGCAAAAGCTCGCGAGGGGCGGTGGAAAACTCGCCGCTACGGGGAGGGGGGGGGGGGGGGCGGGACATAGACAACGCACGCAAGACTATGTGTATTTAGAGCATTTGTCCGAGCGAATGTTTCGCGCGAGAAATAAAAAACACCCCCCCACCGCAACGCAACGCTCACCTCGGTGCAAAGTTCGCCGCTACGGGAGGTGTGGGAAGTATGCCAGGCACACAAGCTAATGCGCGTTGAGTGCTATTTGCGAACGTTTGCTGCGCAAGGAAATCTTGGCCTGGCGCTGGGCCCAACCATCAACAGCTGTGAATGCGCCAGTTGTGGGTATCGTCATCGGTGGCGTTCTCTATGGGCCACGAAACGCTGCTGGGTGGGGGAGACGCATGCGAGCACATGCGCTGGAGCCTTCGGTGTGGCTCCCTGTGGGCCACGAAGCGCTGTAGTGGGCGGGGGGGGCGCATGCGGGTGCAGCCGCTGGGGCCTTAGTGGGGATACCTATGGAGCCACAAAGCGCTGTGCTGAGATTGGGAGACGCATGCGACTGCAACCACTGGGGCCTTCGGTGGAGCCTCCCATGGGCAACGGAGTGATGCACTGGGCAGGGGAAACGCATGCGACTGCAGCCACTACCGGGGCCTTCGGTGGAGCTCCCTGTGGGGCCACGAAACGCTGCACTCGGTGGGGGAAACGCATGCGAATGCAGCTACTGGGGCACTCGGTGAAATTCCGTTCGGGGCCACGGAACGCTGTACTGGGCGGGGGAGACTCGTGCGAGCGCAGCCATTGGGGCCCTCACTGGAGCTCCGCATGGGGACAGGAAGCGCCGTGCTGGGCCGGGGAGACGCATGCGAGCGCAGCCACCAAGGCCTTCGGTGGAGCTGCGTACGGGGCAGGAAACGCTATACTGGGTGGGGGAAAGCGAACGCGAGTGCAGCCGTTGAGGCTATCGATTGGGTTCCCTATGCTGGGGCCACGAGCGCTGCAGTGAGGGAGGGAGACGAATGCGAGTGCAGCCATTGGGGGCTTTGGCCGCGTCCCCCTACGGGGCAACGCAGCGCTGTATTGGGTGGAGGGGGGCGCGTGCGAGTGCAGCCGCTGGGGCCTTGGTGCGGATACCTGTGGGGCCACGAAGCGCTGCACTGGTATTGGGGGACGCATGCGAGCCTAGCCATTGGGGCATTCGGTGGAGTTCCTTTTGGGGCACGGAACTCTGCACTGGGAGAGGGAGAAGCATGCGACAGTTTTTTTCACTCATGGGCTGAAGGTGCGCCGTTCCGAAGTCGGCGAACCCATAAGCCTTCAGCCTCTGGAGCTGGGGGCTCAAGCCTTCTGTAGCCGCTGGAATGCTAGGAAAAGCACAATGCCCAGCAAGGCAATCCGTCCACAGGAGCAGACACTTGAGCGGCCTCTTGAGGGCCAACGCAGGGGCCACGCTTTGGTTGGCCATGCATTCCGCCAGAAGGCCTTTGAAACAAAAGTTGCAGGATAGCCCCACCTCACACTGACGGCCAGCAGGCCGTCTCCACAGTGCCTGCGAACCGAGCGCGAGTGGAGTGCCCTTGTCAGAGGCGCTCCCAAAACTCGCTCGAAAACGGGGTGCAGTGAACATTGCGGCGCCTCGAGACCGCTTCGTAGGAGCGGCTGAAAGAAGCACCCGCACATCGCCACTCGAAGTGCTCAGCTCTTACTCAATCCTGCGGTAGCTTGAGCTGGATCAACTGACTTTCGTGCCCTTACAATACGCGGATGACAAGGCAGAGCCCCTGGCATCCTCAAAAGAAACTTAAATATGCTAGCGGCGTCCTCCTTATTCCTGAAATGAAAACACCGCCGTCAGATCCGGCGACGGATGCAAGGAGGGCCGGCTTAATCTGGAAATGCAAAAAGAAGGGTGCGGTGGGCTACCCAACGACAGAACTAGATTAGGTTCTGCGTGGTCTATACATTTGGCCAAAAGATCCGGGTCTAGTAGCTCATTCCTGCGGGCCACGGCATCCCCCAGCTGGCGGTAGTGCAACTTGTGCACTAGCGCGTCACCTGCTCGTCCACCCAATCGGCGGGAGTCCGCAAACGGCACAGCCTGCAGAGGTCGCCCTTCTGGTTGTCCAGTAAGCCTGACGCAAGGCATCCCTTGGGCGGGCCGCTTGACCCTCAGAACGTTGTTCTTTTCCAGAGGTGCTCAGAACCCTCCTGGCAAAGTCGAGGCACCCCCATGGGAACATCCTGAATGTGTCCGAGACGTATAGCAGCTTTTGTTCCCCAAGTCCTGGTGCACTCATCCTGAAGCACGTGCTCCAGCGGCTTGGGCGAAATATAAACGAGCGATAGAAGCTTGCTCCCCTGCGATTTCAGCACGAACTGTCCTTGAAATGCCCATGCAATCCTGTCGAGGGCGTGAGCCGCCGCTGCAACAGGTCCTCGAACTTGGTGGTACGCGAGTCCATAGCAATGCTCAATACGCTCCCAGAATGATTTTTGCGGTCCGATCCCCAGGTGCCCCTCAGGCCCCGCTTTGCCAAATCCTGCAGCCAAAAATTCCTGGGCCCAACGCGCCACATGTGCCAGGGCCCACTTGTCTGCTTTGGACTCAAAAAGTA